TGAATCAGTTCCTAGACATGAGAGGCGTGAGAGATAAACAATCGTAAAAAATGCGTATACTACCACAGGAAAATCCGCAACATCTAACGCAAAAGTGTATAAATTTCTCATATACAGACTGTTAGAAAAGCAAACGAAGACTTCTCTTTCAGAGTCTCGCTGGTTTTTATCATGAATGCGAAGTTGACGTGGTAATTCAGTTCTTAATTAATTGATCCATGGTAGTCCAGCTTGCTATGTGTTGTATTGTTTGGCAGAAGGATTATATCGTGATATTTTCAAACCTTACTGTAGCAGATAGAAGGAAGGAAATTTTGTTTCCCTGCAATCTAGATAAAAGTATTTTGTTTTACCTTCAGTATCTGTCCATCATCAGGATACTGATCTAGGATGGACCTCAACTGTTGGATGAGTGATGGCTGAATCAAATCAAACCCATCGTCATCATTGTTCGCTGAGCAACAAATTAAAGAAACAGACATTAGAGGTAGTTTTCAAAGAAACCAAACACAAAGACCTGACGTTAGATATATCGGAACTACTATAATTCCCTTCGGAAGGATCGAGGCTTTAAGCTGCTTGCGGACAAGAGTATCCGTTTAGTTCACATTCCTGTTTACCAAATAATTCTGGTACATTGGGACTTATATATGTATAACATGCACTATAGACTAAGGAAAAGCGTCTTTGATGAATGCCTCCTCGTATCTTTAGGCAATGGTTCCTTCAAACTTTTATTCCAGTATTTATTCAAGGTCTTTTGAGAACTATTCCACGAGCGCGCCTTGAATAAAAGATTACAGATACCCAACAAGGTGTGTAACGCCAAGTTGGCTCTAATCATCCTCTAACTAACAAGCGCGGGTTGCTAAAAAACGTCCCCAAAATATAGAAAATTAAAAACGAAAGACCTCCAGGTTTCTTACTGAAGTCAGTGTTCAGTTATATAGTATAATTTATACCTACCCATGAGTGAGAGTTCAGATTTTCTTCAAATAGCTACTTGCTCTTTTTCACCTGGTAACCATCTAAACAAGACCACAAGAAGAGGTTGATTAGCAATGAATAGGAAATGCAAGAACGGCATTTGCAAAATTAGCGCGCTTTGGAGCCATATTAAATATCCAAGCACTGCATATTTAAAAGCTGCGTAAATAGGGTGTTACTAACCAGAGTAACGAGGTAACGAGGTCACCAGGTCACCAGGTAACCAATAACCAGTACCCAGTAATCAGTACCCAGTACCCAGCAACCAGTACCCAGTACCCAGTAACCAGTACCCAGTACCCAGTACCTAGTACCCAGTACCCAGTACCCAGTACCCAGTACCAGTACCAGTACCCAGTACCCAGTACCCAGTAACCTGTAACCAGTAACCGGTAACCAGAGTAACGAGTAACGAGTAACGAGTAACGAGTAACGAGTAACGAGTAACGAGTAACGAGTAACGAGTAACGAGTAACGAGTAACGAGTAACGAGTAACGAGTAACGAGTAACGAGTAACGAGTAACGAGTAACGAGTAACGAGTAACGAGTAACGAGTAACGAGTAACGAGTAACGAGTAACGAGTAACGAGTAACGAGTAACGAGTAACGAGTAACGAGTAACGAGTAACGAGTAACGAGTAACGAGTAACGAGTAACGAGTAACGAGTAACGAGTAACGAGTAACGAGTAACGAGTAACGAGTAACGAGTAACGAGTAACGAGTAACGAGTAACGAGTAACGAGTAACGAGTAACGAGTAACGAGTAACGAGTAACGAGTAACGAGTAACGAGTAACGAGTAACGAGTAACGAGTAACGAGTAACGAGTAACGAGTAACGAGTAACGAGTAACGAGTAACGAGTAACGAGTAACGAGTAACGAGTAACGAGTAACGAGTAACGAGTAACGAGTAACGAGTAACGAGTAACGAGTAACGAGTAACGAGTAACGAGTAACGAGTAACGAGTAACGAGTAACGAGTAACGAGTAACGAGTAACGAGTAACGAGTAACGAGTAACGAGTAACGAGTAACGAGTAACGAGTAACGAGTAACGAGTAACGAGTAACGAGTAACGAGTAACGAGTAACGAGTAACGAGTAACGAGTAACGAGTAACGAGTAACGAGTAACGAGTAACGAGTAACGAGTAACGAGTAACGAGTAACGAGTAACGAGTAACGAGTAACGAGTAACGAGTAACGAGTAACGAGTAACGAGTAACGAGTAACGAGTAACGAGTAACGAGTAACGAGTAACGAGTAACGAGTAACGAGTAACGAGTAACGAGTAACGAGTAACGAGTAACGAGTAACGAGTAACGAGTAACGAGTAACGAGTAACGAGTAACGAGTAACGAGTAACGAGTAACGAGTAACGAGTAACGAGTAACGAGTAACGAGTAACGAGTAACGAGTAACGAGTAACGAGTAACGAGTAACGAGTAACGAGTAACGAGTAACGAGTAACGAGTAACGAGTAACGAGTAACGAGTAACGAGTAACGAGTAACGAGTAACGAGTAACGAGTAACGAGTAACGAGTAACGAGTAACGAGTAACGAGTAACGAGTAACGAGTAACGAGTAACGAGTAACGAGTAACGAGTAACGAGTAACGAGTAACGAGTAACGAGTAACGAGTAACGAGTAACGAGTAACGAGTAACGAGTAACGAGTAACGAGTAACGAGTAACGAGTAACGAGTAACGAGTAACGAGTAACGAGTAACGAGTAACGAGTAACGAGTAACGAGTAACGAGTAACGAGTAACGAGTAACGAGTAACGAGTAACGAGTAACGAGTAACGAGTAACGAGTAACGAGTAACGAGTAACGAGTAACGAGTAACGAGTAACGAGTAACGAGTAACGAGTAACGAGTAACGAGTAACGAGTAACGAGTAACGAGTAACGAGTAACGAGTAACGAGTAACGAGTAACGAGTAACGAGTAACGAGTAACGAGTAACGAGTAACGAGTAACGAGTAACGAGTAACGAGTAACGAGTAACGAGTAACGAGTAACGAGTAACGAGTAACGAGTAACGAGTAACGAGTAACGAGTAACGAGTAACGAGTAACGAGTAACGAGTAACGAGTAACGAGTAACGAGTAACGAGTAACGAGTAACGAGTAACGAGTAACGAGTAACGAGTAACGAGTAACGAGTAACGAGTAACGAGTAACGAGTAACGAGTAACGAGTAACGAGTAACGAGTAACGAGTAACGAGTAACGAGTAACGAGTAACGAGTAACGAGTAACGAGTAACGAGTAACGAGTAACGAGTAACGAGTAACGAGTAACGAGTAACGAGTAACGAGTAACGAGTAACGAGTAACGAGTAACGAGTAACGAGTAACGAGTAACGAGTAACGAGTAACGAGTAACGAGTAACGAGTAACGAGTAACGAGTAACGAGTAACGAGTAACGAGTAACGAGTAACGAGTAACGAGTAACGAGTAACGAGTAACGAGTAACGAGTAACGAGTAACGAGTAACGAGTAACGAGTAACGAGTAACGAGTAACGAGTAACGAGTAACGAGTAACGAGTAACGAGTAACGAGTAACGAGTAACGAGTAACGAGTAACGAGTAACGAGTAACGAGTAACGAGTAACGAGTAACGAGTAACGAGTAACGAGTAACGAGTAACGAGTAACGAGTAACGAGTAACGAGTAACGAGTAACGAGTAACGAGTAACGAGTAACGAGTAACGAGTAACGAGTAACGAGTAACGAGTAACGAGTAACGAGTAACGAGTAACGAGTAACGAGTAACGAGTAACGAGTAACGAGTAACGAGTAACGAGTAACGAGTAACGAGTAACGAGTAACGAGTAACGAGTAACGAGTAACGAGTAACGAGTAACGAGTAACGAGTAACGAGTAACGAGTAACGAGTAACGAGTAACGAGTAACGAGTAACGAGTAACGAGTAACGAGTAACGAGTAACGAGTAACGAGTAACGAGTAACGAGTAACGAGTAACGAGTAACGAGTAACGAGTAACGAGTAACGAGTAACGAGTAACGAGTAACGAGTAACGAGTAACGAGTAACGAGTAACGAGTAACGAGTAACGAGTAACGAGTAACGAGTAACGAGTAACGAGTAACGAGTAACGAGTAACGAGTAACGAGTAACGAGTAACGAGTAACGAGTAACGAGTAACGAGTAACGAGTAACGAGTAACGAGTAACGAGTAACGAGTAACGAGTAACGAGTAACGAGTAACGAGTAACGAGTAACGAGTAACGAGTAACGAGTAACGAGTAACGAGTAACGAGTAACGAGTAACGAGTAACGAGTAACGAGTAACGAGTAACGAGTAACGAGTAACGAGTAACGAGTAACGAGTAACGAGTAACGAGTAACGAGTAACGAGTAACGAGTAACGAGTAACGAGTAACGAGTAACGAGTAACGAGTAACGAGTAACGAGTAACGAGTAACGAGTAACGAGTAACGAGTAACGAGTAACGAGTAACGAGTAACGAGTAACGAGTAACGAGTAACGAGTAACGAGTAACGAGTAACGAGTAACGAGTAACGAGTAACGAGTAACGAGTAACGAGTAACGAGTAACGAGTAACGAGTAACGAGTAACGAGTAACGAGTAACGAGTAACGAGTAACGAGTAACGAGTAACGAGTAACGAGTAACGAGTAACGAGTAACGAGTAACGAGTAACGAGTAACGAGTAACGAGTAACGAGTAACGAGTAACGAGTAACGAGTAACGAGTAACGAGTAACGAGTAACGAGTAACGAGTAACGAGTAACGAGTAACGAGTAACGAGTAACGAGTAACGAGTAACGAGTAACGAGTAACGAGTAACGAGTAACGAGTAACGAGTAACGAGTAACGAGTAACGAGTAACGAGTAACGAGTAACGAGTAACGAGTAACGAGTAACGAGTAACGAGTAACGAGTAACGAGTAACGAGTAACGAGTAACGAGTAACGAGTAACGAGTAACGAGTAACGAGTAACGAGTAACGAGTAACGAGTAACGAGTAACGAGTAACGAGTAACGAGTAACGAGTAACGAGTAACGAGTAACGAGTAACGAGTAACGAGTAACGAGTAACGAGTAACGAGTAACGAGTAACGAGTAACGAGTAACGAGTAACGAGTAACGAGTAACGAGTAACGAGTAACGAGTAACGAGTAACGAGTAACGAGTAACGAGTAACGAGTAACGAGTAACGAGTAACGAGTAACGAGTAACGAGTAACGAGTAACGAGTAACGAGTAACGAGTAACGAGTAACGAGTAACGAGTAACGAGTAACGAGTAACGAGTAACGAGTAACGAGTAACGAGTAACGAGTAACGAGTAACGAGTAACGAGTAACGAGTAACGAGTAACGAGTAACGAGTAACGAGTAACGAGTAACGAGTAACGAGTAACGAGTAACGAGTAACGAGTAACGAGTAACGAGTAACGAGTAACGAGTAACGAGTAACGAGTAACGAGTAACGAGTAACGAGTAACGAGTAACGAGTAACGAGTAACGAGTAACGAGTAACGAGTAACGAGTAACGAGTAACGAGTAACGAGTAACGAGTAACGAGTAACGAGTAACGAGTAACGAGTAACGAGTAACGAGTAACGAGTAACGAGTAACGAGTAACGAGTAACGAGTAACGAGTAACGAGTAACGAGTAACGAGTAACGAGTAACGAGTAACGAGTAACGAGTAACGAGTAACGAGTAACGAGTAACGAGTAACGAGTAACGAGTAACGAGTAACGAGTAACGAGTAACGAGTAACGAGTAACGAGTAACGAGTAACGAGTAACGAGTAACGAGTAACGAGTAACGAGTAACGAGTAACGAGTAACGAGTAACGAGTAACGAGTAACGAGTAACGAGTAACGAGTAACGAGTAACGAGTAACGAGTAACGAGTAACGAGTAACGAGTAACGAGTAACGAGTAACGAGTAACGAGTAACGAGTAACGAGTAACGAGTAACGAGTAACGAGTAACGAGTAACGAGTAACGAGTAACGAGTAACGAGTAACGAGTAACGAGTAACGAGTAACGAGTAACGAGTAACGAGT